TCTCTTTACATTTTCTGTGCAGAGCTAAATAATAATTCCCTTGCATCTGTCTTGATCCACCTCTCACTCCCTACTGGGGTGAAATAATCTCATTTAACATGAATTTAATTATTTTGATTTGTATTGTATACAAAAGTAAGTTCTACCTTTGTAAAAGTTACTTCCTGACAAAGCAAGTTATATTAAGGGATTGATTAAAACAAACAAGACCTTAGAGCTGTTTGAATGGACTCAATGTAATCTCTGATAACATTTTAACATTATCTCTTTACCTCATTAGGATCAAGACTGCATGTGTCTTAACCTCAGCATGTCACTTAACGTAAGTGGTTTGTGTTTCTGTGTGTGCATGAGACGGAGATGATTATCATTATCACGTAATGGGAAATAAATGGTTGTCTGCAATGAATGTCAGGGATGGAAAATGCTCCTGACACTTGGTGCACACTTCACATATTATGTCACAAAGCGTATCTAAAATGTGTGTTACTCGAGTGTGAACTGTCTGACATTTTGGGAAAGCTTACCCAGAGTCAGTACAGAGATAAGTCATGGGACATGTTTAACTTAGCACAAATAACTGGAAGCAAATAGGAAGTGCTAGCCTAGCCTTCAGTCAGCAGTTAAAAATACATTCAACTTCAACTTTAACTTCCAACTTGAACAACTTTAAAGGACCAGTGTATAGGATTTGGCATTTAATGGTGAAGTTGCAGATTGCAATAAGGAGAAGAAGAAACTATGGTGACCATGAAAGTTGCGGAAAACGCAAAAGGCCATAGATCTCGAGCTAATGTTTGTTTTGTCCATTATGGGCTACTGTAGACATAGGTGGCCGACGGCTTATTCTAAGGTAAAGACAACAGTTCTTATATTCAGGGGATTATACACTAATTAAAATAGACCTATGAATATTATATTCCATTTTTGACAATAGAGCCTCCTAAATGTTACACACTGGACCTTTAAGATTGTGTGATATGACTTAAAGCCCAGAACAGATCCTGAATGGACCTTGTAGAGTTAGATTGTTTTCTCAACTCCTTTTTCTGAGGTCAAGAATGAAGCTCAAGCTCAGAGTTGTTGCGTGGCAATGATTTTTTTATCATTTTAAGGTTCCAAACAAAACGGACAGTCTTAACATGCAGTTATATTTTCCTTTTCACCTTCATTCTAGTCTGGTAAAACTATTGGCCAAAGAACAGTCAGTCTGGTTTCCATAATGGTAGCCACAGGCTTGTAAAGTACTAGACTTTTGAGTACTGAATGCTGCACAGAGATGACACTGTTGTCAGTTGTGGGACTGTTTCTCTTAAAATGAAGCCACACAATAACCAAATATTATTATCAACAAAATATAGTCATGAGTGCATTTGTGTGTACTAACGATGATATGTCTGTTCTCTGTACAGGGATGTGACTCCTTTCCTGACTATTACATTAAAGGCCTGGCATTAGTTAGGTCCTGTGAGCTAACCAAAACTTTGCTGATCAAAAAGCTGAATAGTTGGAAGGATTATAAGGTAAGTCACCATGGTTTATGATTTGTGTTTGTATGTGAATATAATAACAAAGAAATTACTCAGGCTTGGCATCTGGACACAGAACAGATTTGCGTGTGATCAGCTCAGGCTTAGCAATACTGTATCTCCTGACACCAAAGATCCCCCAATAACAGATTACCAGTTCAGCACCCTGCATATACCAGTGGGTGTCAGGGTCCCCACAGACTTGGTGACTGGCTGTTCTTTAAATTTAGCTGACAAGTCCAGTTATTGCCTTAAAGGGCAGGATTTTATATGTATATCAATGCTTCCTTTTTCCGTTTGGGTTTTGTTTTCAATGCCAAAATTGAATATTACTGTTCTTGACCAACAGCAGCTGCTTCTCTAAAATAAATCAAAAGCCAGAGGATCAGCTTTATGATTTGCAACTAGAATACAAGATAACTTTCTCTTTATAACCCTCACATTACACAAAGAACAGTATTAGGTGATTCTGAAAACCAGCTTACACACAGACAGTTTTGACATGTTGTGGCCTCATAAAGATGTTATGGCTAATGTGTTGGCCATTTGATGAGAGCAGCAAAGGTGAATGATTCTGTGAAATGTGACCAACCAAAACCCAACCAAACGATGAGAGGCTAAAATGATGAGTTGCAAAATTGCACGATCATTTTTTGGTGGGCAACCCATTTCACATTACACATTTGCTTCATTGTTAAGATTAAAATAAATATTGATTAGTGCAGCTTTATATACAACATTAACATCCATGTTTTTCTCCATTTAGACATTGATTTGTGGGCTGAATGAGACGTATGAGCCGATCGTTTCACCAAAGGGCTTCCATACACACCTGAAAAAGCTGGTGGAGAAGATCAGTACAGCGAAAGCCCACAGTCAACAGTGAACACTGAACCTGTATCAACGACTACCATCAGTGTGATGACTCTATGCTTCATCATATTCATTCAATCATATTTGTCTGATTGCTTTTCAGTATTTTAAAATTCATCTGGTTATTGTAAGTTGCTGTGAAAATGTTCCCACAACTCTAGTAGGTATCATTTTGGGTAAGATTTGACAATTCTATAATGTCATGTGGATTTTCATTCACACAAACACTGTGTTTGACAAGTGAAAAACAAATTTCTTGACAAAAAGGCAAAAAAAACCTGTTTAACAACTTTGACAATAGCAGCAGGCGAATGATTTGAAATCACTTGCAACGTAAATGGTTTCCTGGGCACAACCCTTGCCAAAAAATCTTAGCTCACAGAGAAAGAAAAAAAAGAATCCAGACCAGAAACAAAAAAAGGCCTGATAATATCTTTAATATAGTGCCTTTTAAACCATGCGGAACACAAGAAATATCTGCAAAAATAGGTACTCATGGAATAACCAATCATGATCAATTTGTCTCATGAACATGCATCATATATTTTATCAATAATCACTGGTAGATGCACTGTATTATTAATAAGCAAATACATCGATCAGATAGATCAGTAGGTATTGAAAGCCAAAAGTAGAAGCTACATCAAACACTATCTCTTAATATGCTGTATGATTGACATTCAGATGTATGCCAGCAGTACTTTAGATGATTTCAATCCATTTGTTAATGATAATATGATGCTGAACATGAAACAAGATGTATGTTTGCAGATGTATTGTTTTAGACCTATTATTTATTCTATTTATTATTAATTTATCATTGTGTTAAGGATTCATGTGAACTGATGTACCTATTCATTATTATTTGTCTCCATATTGTGGAAAAACACTTTAGTGTATAAAGACTGAACAGTAATGTACACAGTGACTTGAGTGTTAACAGATTCTGCTGTTGGTTCAATTCCATCCCGCCCAAATGACCATGTCTTTGTTCACTCTTCTGTAACTGTATTTTTGTTTCTTTTCATGTTTTACTCTTACCTAGTGCAACACAAATAAAACCATTAGTCATTGAATCATTATGTTGGCTTGTGAACTTCTTACCCTAACTAGCATTTAAAGACTTTTTGTAGGGGGGCTTTTGTTTGACAGGAACAGCCGAAGAGAGACAAGAAAGTGGGGAGAGAGAGGGGGTGACATGCAACAAAGTCAATGAATTAAACTGAAGGTTCAGTGTGTAACATTAAGGATGATCTATTGGCAGAAATGGAATATAATACTCACAGGGATGTTTTCATTAGTGTATAATGGTGCCTCATCCTCTGAAAACAAACACAAACCCCTGTAGTGCCCCTATAAACTCACTGATACTTTGTATGTAGCAAACAACATTTCCATTGCTTTAGAACCTTATTGGATGGTATGAATGTGTCTGCATTTAATCTCTTATCTGTGGTTTAGCAATTTGGTTAAAGCACTGGTATAATTGATAATTTTAGATTGTCATGAATGGTGAAGATGTAGCTCAGTTGTTTGGGCATCCTGGTTTAAAACTGAAGGGCTGTGTACACTGTGATACTGCATGGTTTGGTCAGAGTTTGGGCCTTAGCAGAGTGCGAAAAACTTGCTCCACATGTTGATTAACTTTCTGTCTGGCCAGCTGGGATGCTTTTAGGGAAAGGTGGTGCATTAAGGATATATTCCTTGAATGTAATCATATTGATTGATGTAATCATTCCATCTGCCCACACAAAGACATCCCTTCCTAAAGTGTGCATGTCCCTGTAATTGATTTTAAATTGAATAATTGGTTTAAGGCTGGCTGTGTACAGGATTAGCCCTCAGGAGATTTTTTTTATTTTTTATTATGCAATAAATGACTGACCATCTTTTAAGCAAGGACCTCCATACAGTGACTGGAGCCACTGACCTGACTGGGACAACCAGCTATTCTAGTAGTCTTATATTCTGAGTACTCCCAGACAGCTGAGTGTGAATCCCTAGCTTCTGCAGGTCCAGACCACTATCCCCACTCCCCACTGCTTGTTCTGATTTTGAAGTAAAGTAAAGAAAAAACTCTCATCAAGATCTATTTTGTTGTTGTTGTTGTTGTTGTTGTTGTTGTGATGGTTTTATATCCAGTAACTCACAGGACACACACAGTAAGCCTGTATCCTCTTTGCTGTGGTCTTTGTTAGTGAAATACAAGTTTATCATTAAATCCTAATGGGGGAGAAATTGTAATATACGAGGGAGCCAGGGATGGCACTGCCTACCTGGACTGCTTCTAAACCTTTAAACTTGTCCAAGTCACACTGCTGAAGCCTCATATTACGTTCAGCTGAACTCTCAAATGCAATTCAACGTACATATGCACTCTGTTCAAGGCAACACAGTGGGGCTTTATTTTTGACCCTGTTTGTTTTGGTGTCTTTCTTCTTGACTTTGTGACCTGCTGTGTTGTTTAATGGTGCAGCCACTGGACTCTGCTGCCCTCTACAGGCTTTCTTCATGATAGCATCCCAATGATCGAGAGAGAGAGAGAGAGAGAGAGAGAGAGAGAGAGAGAGAGAGAGATGCACGCGTGCATCCGTGCAAATAGTGACGAAGTAGTACAGTGCCTCACAGCTGAAACACACTGACACAATAACGGAGACAATAACGGACACTATCAGCATCCAGCCATGCAGCCACCCCCCAGAAAGGTAAGATAGTGCTGAGTGTAATGTGGAAGAACAGTTGACAGAGTGAGGTAGAGGAAGAGTGAGTACTGCTTTCTCAGGCTTTGTGTCTCTACTACTTTCATTTTTGTTCCTCTGACCCACATTCCTTTAAAGCCAGTACTTTCATTAAAAACACTGATGCAGCAATAAATGAAGTATCCTTCCAAATATCCAAATATGTCTGAGTCTTGTTTGTCAACAGTTTTGTTTTGGATGGATGCATTAACTAGGTCCTGTTTGAGTGGAAGCATCTGCAAGTATCAAAAGTGTATTTTGACCCGTTGAGTGAATGTTCTTTGCAGTACGTGTACTGACTCTTTGAGGCATTTGTTACCTTTTTAAAGTAAATACCTAAGTACTGTATAAGATCACTTAGAGAGTATATTGCAGGTATTTGAGATACAGTATATCTTGCACTCCAGTCAGAATCTTTCCCTTAAGATCAAACATTTCCTCAGTTTTTCCTGCAACCCCTAAGTCATGTTTACAATTTATGACTGGAAACCTTTCTGACTTAGTTGCAAAGTGTATGATAATGGGCGTAAGATATAAAGTTGGCATTACACTTGTGTTACTGGTAACCAGTCAGGTCAGGTAGTGGTCAATGGCACTATTGACTGTTCCAGCACTAGGGGAATCTTTAAAAACCTTTTTAACAATATTGTCAGTAATTTAGGAAGACTGGGAGACTGTTGTTGTAGTCGTATTAATAATAGTGATGTCAGTTAGATTTGGTTTGAACAAAGCTATAGAATATCAATACATCTTACCCTTTCTTATGCTCAGGAGTGCATACACTACAGGTTATGAACTCCTTTCTAAAATACAAAAAATGCAAAATTATCAGTAATCTGACCATTAGAAGCAGGTAATTATCAGTTATTGTATCTGCTGAAAAGATCCATATTGTACACCCCTAAAAAAACATACTACTACTAGAATGAAATGAAGTTGCGCCAGTCAGAATTTTGTGAACTTGAAAACCTCTATCATCAACTAATATATTTAGTATATAGTACAAATAGACCTTTTTCACAGCAGCCATTTTAACACAAAATAGTAGGGTAAGTCCAAGTGGCTGCTGTGAAAAATGTCTGTGTCATGGCAAATTTTTTGACATGACATTGCAGAGAAACCACAATCAGTTACCTAATGAAGGCTGCGTTCCAGCGAGGTGTTCCAGTTCCAGGGCCCTGAGGTTTTGCATGCTGGCTCACTGACGTGGTGGGAAATGGAACAGCAGCATAATTAATATGAATTACTCTTGTGCTTTTCAAGTAAAAGGGCTGCCATGAAAGACGTATGTAAAGCATATTGACTGGGCAGAGCTGTCTTTTGAAAAGCCTAAAGTGGAGGAATCTAGTGTTTTATCTAATGGCCTCTCTGGTAGCCAGCCAGATTAAGCTAAAATTAACAAAATGCAGTGCAAAAGAATAGACCTTTTTCTGAGCTAAGTTAGGCACAGTACCTACCTCCATAACAGACGCAGACACAATGATTCTTACATAAAGGGATGAAATTATTTATTTTCCCAACTACAAATTTCTGCTGTAGTGACATACTTGTTACATACTGTATACGTCCATTGAGATAGCTCATTGAGATTAGCTGGTAAAGGGGTACACTGAACCTGATAGGCGGGGGTGGAACAAGTACTCAGATCTTTTACCTAACTAAACGTAGCCATACCACAGTGTACTCTGTTACAAATAAAAGTTCTGCATTCAAGATTGGACTTAAGTAAAAGTGAAAAAAGTTTTAGCATCAAAATATACTTAAAGTCAAAAGTAAAACTACTCATTATGCAGAACGGCCCATTTCAGAACAATTTTTATTGAATTATTGAATTATTGTATTATTGCGTTAATGTGTAAAGCATTTTAAAAGGTGGAGCTAATTTTTCATTACTTTTTACACTGTATATACTGTTGGGTATGTTGTGAATTCGCCCAATGGCATCAATAAAAGCTTATTTTAACATATAATCATACATCTTAATGTGTTTATTGATTATATTTTGTTTTATTATTCTGAATCTGCAGTAACAAAACGTAGTAATGTTGTATTATACAAATAACTATGAAATAAATGTCTAATTATATAAGTATGAAGTAATGTAGCAGAAATGGAAATACTTTAAAGTACAAACTATAAAATTGTACTTAAATACAGTGCTTGAGTAAATGTACATTCTCAGTGAGCATTAAATAAAATAAAATGTCCCTTGTGTGTGTGTGTGTGTGTGTGTGTGTGTGTGTGTGTGTGTGTGTGTGTGTGTGTGTGTGTGTATGTGTGCAGGTAAAGGAGAGCCAGCAGGTGAAACTGGCATTCTCAGAGCAGCTCAGCAAATTGCAGACCAAACAGCATCAGGACACTGAGCTGCTGGAAGAGATCAGGTACAATACTCTGTCACCAGACTGGGGGGTTATGTGCATAAAATCCTCCCATTGGATTCAATGAGACGGACGACATTAGGCGGAGAGATCCATACAAACATGGAGGTGAAAGCATGTTAAATCTGCCTGTTGATGTTGTTTTTCTGTGTTGCCCAAGGTCCTTCAGTAAGCAACGTGCAGCTATAGAGAAAGAGTATGGTCAGGTGAGTGCTATTCTAGTCCACTATTACTCCCCTTACTGGAACCTTTGGTTTTTACTGGAGATGCTCATCATTTATTGATTTCAGGTCCCATATCAGTACATGAGTGCTGTGTTGTTATTTGGTGCCTCTTGTGACACTGTGTGTACAGTATGTGTGTTATGCCATCCTAAGTAGGGATTAATCTGTCTCTCTTCCCTTTCCATATTTCCATTTGGGCTGTCTCACTAGATGTTCCAAGGAAAGAGAGAGAGAGCTTTATGTGTTCCTTGCACCATAGGGGAGAATGTGTCACATATGTGTCCACACTGACACTGACAAATGCATACCCAGCTTTATGGGAGAGGAATAAAGAAAGGATAAAAATGCATTATGCTGTGTCCTGAGAAACTACACTTCACAAATAATTGCACCCAACTGAGTCATGAAAATGTCTGACACTTTAAAGGTCCAGTGTGTAACATTTAGGAGGCTCTATTGGCAGAAATGGAATGTAATATTCATAGGTATGTTTTCATTAGTGTGCTTTTGTTACCTTAGAATGAACAATTTTTATCTACAGACACCGCTGCCATGTTTCTACAGTAGCCCAGAACAGACAAACTGAACACTGGCTGTAGATAGGGCCTTTCACGTTTTTCAGCCCATTTATTGCTTTAGTTATCCCTAAAACAAAAGCTCACTGCTCCTAAAGCCCCACTTTCACGAACATACACACACTTGGTCTAGGCTTAGGCACCAAAACGACTTAGTTAGGTTAGGAAAATACCATTGTAAAATAATAACATTAGTTACGATGGTGACACCAGGGTGACACCTTGTTTGTTTTTGGGGTAATGAACTAAAAACAGCTTTCATGAAAGAGCTGTTTGTTCCACTAGTTATTAAACTGTGGCCAAACCAGGTTCTCAGTAAATGCACCTTAATTGTGTCTTCAATAAACTACATTTTACTTTATTTTATTGGCGTTGTGATCCTGTGTGAACTCTGCATTTTCAGGCTCTTCAGAGATTAGCTGTCCAGTACCAGAAGAGAGACTGGCAAAGAGGAAATACAGATACCATCACTTCTGGGTAACTACACACACATATAGGCCTACTGTACGGCTGTTTTCTGTTTCACTTTTTTGTGGGTGATTTTAGTTTCCAAAACTAACCATAGGCTGATGTAACTGGCTGCTCTGGTGTCATTTTCAGTAAGTATGGAAAGTTGCAGTTAGTGTAATTTTACACGTTCGCCAAGAACAATGGTTGATCTTGACGTTATAGCTTATATAGTTAGCTAGAGAACGTTAGCCACGCAGTGTAGGTACACGTGCCACTATCACATCCACCATACCTGCCAACTTTTCCAAAAACCTTGGAGTGAGATTTTGTCGGGGGTGACCAAAATGATGCCGCGCACGCAGCCACACAAGTTGGTGGCTCAGATATCAGAGAATTGGAATTCATTTGATGTTGTACCCATGTTGTACTCTGCATTCTGGTGGTTTGTGGGGAGGCCCAAAGCCGCTGATAGGGGCAGCCTACTGGAGATGGACAATATTGGTTACATTCTGAGAAGCAGACATAGCTGAAGGTCCACCCTCAGGACATTTTGGATTAAGTAGATGTGATTTCCTGCATTCTAGTGGATTTTTGGGTGGTCTGCTAAAGATGTGCAATACCTGAACTTATTCTGATTCATGTTCGGCATCATGACTTGTAGGGCCTTCTAGACTTGAGCTGAACATTCAACCAGAAAACTATTGTTGTGCCTAAATGACTGCCTGTATCCCAATAAAGCCTTATTCATAGACCAGTGTTTAAGATTGGACCTAGGTACCTGTAGGTTGATTGATATTTTGATTAGAATGGTCCCGCTGTCTTTCTCGGTATCTCTTCTTTTGTCGCTAACTTCGGGGTGCCATAGACTGTATATATAGAATGGGGTGCAGCATATATGGGTGCAGCGCATAGGGTTCAGTGGCGCTCATCAGCGCCATCTACTGTCGGCGAGTTTAAAAAGGAACGAACGAGTCTCGGCCCAAGATCTGATTTTTTTTGCGTGAGAAATTGGATGTGTGGCGTGAGTGCGTGTAAAAACAGGCAAAACCGTGTGTCTCATGGCGAAAGCGTGAGAGTTGGCAGCTCTGGACTTACATAGAGAATCATTATTGTCTGTTAGTAATGAAAGTGCAGCAATATAGGGCTCTCCATTGATACATTTACAGCTGAACAATGAGCAAATGCATGGTTTCCATTATTAGGTGTACAAATATTTACTACTACAGTATGTGGGATAATTGGGGTCAGCCCTATGTTCCCACAGCCCAGTGGTCCCACAGCCCTATGTTCCCACATTTCTAAGAAGGGCTACGGTTAGTGTTAGGGTAAGAAGTAGGGATACAATCTGATACAAATTTATGAAAAAGGAACTGTGGGCCTAATTTTGAAAAAAATCTTAGAAATGTGGGAACATAGGGCTGTGGGAACGCACGCTCCCGGGAAATTTGTCCAAATGTGCTAATGTGCTACACTGTGGCTGTGTGTTTGGTCAGATGCACACATATTTTCAGAAAAGTGCTTGGATGTACGCTGTTAGCTTTTAAAGAAAAGAGTAACATACGCTTAATCAGCAATTGTCATTAGTGTTGGTGTGTGTGTGTGTGTGTGTGTGTGTGTGTGTGTTTTCAGGAGTGTATTTGGTGTGTGGCGGTCAGTGGTAGACGCTACAGCTCAGTCTGCCACATCACGATTTGCTGCTGCAGAAGAATACCGCAGACTGATTAGACTAGCCTCCCGAACTCTTCGCAATACGAAGGACATCCGAACAAAGAGAGTGAGAGAGCTGCACACAGTACACACACACACACACACTGATCAAATACTCAAATCACACAGCTAACTTTGCTTTTTCATTATTGCAACACATCGTAAGAATGAAATATCTACCAAAGGCTGCATGAATCCTCTGATGTGTGTGTGTGTGTGTGTGTGTGTGTGTGTTTGCGTTAGGGCTTGGAGCGGCTCCAGAGGGTACAGGGGGAAGTGGTGGAAGCTTTGCGGGAGCTGCACAGGATCAAGAAGAGCTACCACCAACTCAGTCACATTGCCAGTGTTGCCAGAGAGAAAGCTGCTGATGCACAAACCAGGTCAGTGTGTGTGACAGAGGCAAAACAAAACAACAAGCAAACAACCAAAAATGATGATGCTGACCCATGACAAATATCGGTGGTTTCATTTTCGAAGATGCACCACGTAATGTGGTCCTTTACAGCCTATACTGTACAGTCTGTATAAGCTAGAAAAAGTAAACTGCAGGGAAATAAACCTACATTCTCTTTAATGGCCAGCAGATGGCAACTCCCTTGGTCAGATAGTATTGAGTCTTATGGAGAAATAACCTGACATCTCACTTGATTTATTAACTAAGTAAACAGTTTCCTAATGAGTTTATGGTCTCAATCTCTAGTTTCAGTCTTCTTCCATGCATTATGATGTTCATTTAGTAAATGATGGTCCCATTTAGTGTAAAATAGACCATAAAGAAGGGTATGGTTTAGGGGGTGGCTACCGTGTGATATCATTCTGAGTGAGTTTCAAACTAAAACCTTCAAATAATACTCCACAAACCAGTGGGTCACAACCGGTTCACACTTCACACAAAATATAATATATAATATGATATGACAAAAACCCACTGATATGACAAAAACCCCCTGCTACTGAAGCTATTCTTATGAAAAAAATCACCAAAATGATGTATTGTACCCATTGTGTAACACTCAAAATAAGGCAAACATCAAAGCAGCAACAAGGAACTTTGTGGCGGCCCCTGTGGACAAAAGCGGTAGTGTTTCAACCAACCAAATCCAACCTGGTGGCAGGCATTAAATAACTATATCAAATCTTTTCGCTGTGGAGGCAAGGGTTTTGTGTGCTTATGTTGGTCATATAGATGCAGTAATAAATTGAGCCCCCTTGTAGTAGGTTTAAGTTTAAATTTGTATTATTATATTGTTAAATGACATTACATTATTTATAATAATGTGTGAAAACAGCATGCCTTTCGATGATTATATGTTATCAGTATGTCTTAACTTTGTCTTTCAGAGCCAGAAAGAGTGAACATGGGATATTCCACTTTAAATCAGGACTACATAAGATGACCGCTAAGGTATGAATCAACTGTAATAGACTGTATATTTCCTACATAACAAAAATAAATAAACTAAAACTGATGATTAAAAAAAATTCTCCCACAGCAGTGCTAAAGTAAAGATAATTCATCCACACTGACAGTTGCTTAGTAAATATAAACTGAAATATAAAGTGTGCTGACACTGTGTTTATTTAGAAATTATTTCTAGTTGTGTTTAGATTTAGATTACTGTCCTCTTGATGGATTGCAAATCCAATAATCACTCTCCTTTTAACTCTGTTTTTGGTCTCCACCACCTCCTGAGAAAAATATAATGTCTGTTTAGCTGCAAAATGTTATTGTCTTGTCAATGGGTGTATGTGTCAGAGTTTACCAAAGTTGAACTCTATTTAGAATATTCACATGGTTTAATCAGACTCTGCAGGCTTTTTTAAGGATTGTTGTAGTATAGAATGCCTGATTTCACAGCAGCTTTTGTAAAAAGTTGCGATGCATGTGATGTTTTAGGCATGGTTTTGCGATGAAATTGCAGGAGGAAGTGGAAATGATATGAAATTGTTGGGATTTTTTGTATAACTGATTTCAAATTGTAGTGAGAATAAGATCACACTGTTTTAGGGTAAATGTCTGCGTGGTCTCCATCTTTACAACTCGAAACAGTGAGTTTGGTGACTTATGGCTCAATATTTTGCGCAGGAAACTACAATGATTGCACAAAATTGCAACTTTGCGTAGAATTCAACTTCCTGGAAGGACTGATTAATTTCACCTCCTCAAGCAGATCCTCTGAATGCACTGATTCCATTGGAATTAATTAATTTATTTCACTTCTATAGAAGCTTAGTATTAGTGGTTTAAGCTGATCTATACTGTATATTTGTTCCTTTTTCATGTTAAAGTTTGCTGCATGCTTCACTTAAACTGAAAAATAGAATTTTGTGTGTGTGTGTGTGTGTGTGTGTGTGTGTGTGTGTGTGTGTGTGTGTGTGTGTGCAGCTCAGCGCCAGGTTGAGAGAGTGTGACGACCGTTTGACTGAAGTCCGTAATGAGTATCTGCTGGCGTTAGCAGCAGTCAATGCCCACCAACAACACTACTATACTAATGACTTACCATGTATTATGGAGGTAAGACACACGCACGCACGCACGCACGCACGCACACACACACACACACACACACACACACACACACACACACACACACACACACAAACCCACAAACCCACACACACATATCCTGACACATACAAACTGGAGAAAAGGAAGCTAAAAAACTGTTGTGTATCTGATAAAACACTGACCACATCATTTCCTGGCATACTGTGGGCACCTGGTCTGTTCAGTTTGCTCTGCACAGTGCACAAAAACACTGTCTACTATCCCCTTTTTTACTCTTTTTCTGTGAAAGTCTGTGTGTTGCAAAAATCTAATTGCTGTCATCATCACTTCATGCTTGATGTTCAGTTTTCAAAACAAACTCACAATACTCCTCATAATTAGCTGTCATCCACTAACACTGATCCACTCAGAGGTACTAAATGTTTACAGGTAAGGAAACTGAGTGATCTTAATTCACTGCACCTCCAAAGGGGAAAAAAATGCAGTTAGCAGTAAGTTTTTATTTAACCTTTATTGACCACTAGTTGCATAAGACCAAGGGTTTTGCCTTAATGGCAGCACAGTCTAGACAATAAAAACAACACTATAGAAAATCCAGTATGAAACACCCAGAGGCTATCAGAAGAATTGCAAAATGTTTTAGAGCTTGCACCAAAAGACCATCATGATTTTAGTTGCAATTTTTGTTAAACCTGTTGTGTGACAGGGGAGATGCATGATCTACTGAGAACTGAAGATCATGAGGATCAGGAGTTCACTAGGGGCTAAAATACATAATTTAGGATTAAGACGCAGTCATACATTATTGAATAAAAGTTGAAAATGCTGGTGGAACAACTTGAACTAATAAAAACTGACTCTTGTTCTCTATTTCCCTCATCAGCAAATGGACGGTGATGTTTATGATGATCTGAGAGGCCATTTTACCCTGCTGTGTAGGACTGAGATGGATACCTGTCTGGCCACACACAAACAGTACAACAGGATTTGGGAGAGTGTTGCTAAGGTGTGTGTGTGGGTTTTGTTTTGATGGTCTGGCCATAGGGGGCTCTTATGCCACATTGCTTTCATATTTGAGGTTATCGTAACTACCAGTTTCAATGACCACAGGCAGCCACGTTGGAGGTTCTCTCCAGTCAAAGGTATTAGATTGGTGACAGGTCTTCAGAAGTCAATGTCCATCCAAACCTTCTGTTGACTGTCTGAGTTTTATACATGCAGTATCCCACAGTGGCTCCTGAGAAACCAGACATAAGACATTTCTCACCTTGTTTCTAGAGAGGACGGGGGTGGGGGCAGAGGGGTTAAAGGGAGGTTGACAGACAGAGAGAAAGTTGGAGATTAAGAAACAAATCAAACAAAAGGAGAAAAGGTCAAATAAGAAGAACATGTTTAAAGGACAAAGAGAGGTGCAAGAAAAGTTAGCAGAAATAAATGTTGAATGGGAAAAGAATGGGGGCAATAGTTTTAGGCAGGAGGAACAGATGTTTACAGAGCAAAATTCAACACGTAGATAAAATGTCTGAACTAATGTAGCAACTGAGTGAAATCTGAGGCGGTTCTCTTCAAAATGTGAGTGGGTAGAAAGCTTTTTAACACCTACGTCTTCATTTCTGTGATGGTACAAGGCTTGCACCAGTTAAACACAGGTTTTTTTGTTCACCTGTATCTCTAAATCCCACACCTTTTTGCTCTGTGCTCCAATAACATTTAGCAAGCCTCAGTCAGAACTTCCATCAACTTTCTCCTTTCTTGTACCTTCCTGTACGCATTTTGAAGATAGTTGAAATATTTATACATATTTTGATCTTTATCTTTTCAGCTTTGACATGCCTAGCACCTAGAATATCTAATGGTGGTTGTATTTTACTGTACTGTGTGTACAACTGATTTAATGAGACACAAAAGACAGTGCTAATGAACAGAATATTACTACAGCTTTCACTTAGTTGACGCGAAAAGCAGCCATCTTGGATTATATTGTATTGTATTACTTTATTAATCCCACAACGGGGAAATCCCCTTGTCACAGCAGCATTTTAGGTGAAATAAATGACTACACCTGGATTACCGCTCATGAAGACACAAAAACAGCAGCCTGCTTTGGGTGCACCCACAGGTCTTTCCTGTATTTTCCAAGCATACGTTTCCAATCCTCTCTGACAAATGATGGATTTTTTTTTTTTTTAAAGGATGGTTTGGGAGGAATTGTTTTGTTTGTTCCTGGTTAACATTGATGGGTTACTGTATCATCAGGTGACCAGAGAGAGAAATGTTCTGCAGTTTCTTCAGGAATCTGTCTCCTTCAGCAAAACTCCTGAATTCACCTTCCAGTCAGCTCCACGTGACAAGGTGTGTTTTTATGTTTATATATATATATATGTGTGTGTGTGTGTGTGTGTGTGAGTGAACTCCGGGGGGTGGAAGAAGCAAATTTTAAAAATGATGAAAATAAATATGAAATGCTATTCCATCTACCTTTTCAGTGATAACTGAAGGAAAGACTGCTCATAATTGGTTAAAAACAAGAAATAAACATGTATGTGCATGTACGGGGATTGAGAGAATACAGTTTATAACAATGCAGTCTAGTGCAACAACACCATAAACTACTGCCTTACAGATGACACAGCATCATAAAACACTTAATATTACATGATAAAGAATGAAGAACAGAGGGATGTTTGTCTCTTTTGTGCAGGTGTCTGCTCTACAGGAGGTCTGTGCTTCAGAAGCAGAGGGATGTCTGGTAAAGGAGGCCAAGAAATGGGCTACAAAAGTTGCAAAAGACTACAAAATCATCACCCATGGAGAAAGGGTGAGATTTCAGGGTTGGAAAGCCAAAATATAATCTGACTAGATGGTTTAATACACAGAACCATCTAGGAAGTCGTTGTTGGAAACTGTTCAGAAAAGGGCAGGCACTTTCAGAAAATACTCGGCAGGTGATTGGACGAACCATCTGTCTGTCAGCATCTATCAAAAGTAATCCAGTTCAGATCAATGAACTATATAACGTAGTCAAACTCTTACAAAAGCCAGTTGGGAGAAGAGAGACAACATTCCATGGAGAAAAGCCTTCAGTGTCAATCCATGCCCTTCTCTCAGTGAAGAAATCCTCTCTGATGCTAGAAGCATCTACGCTAACCTCTTTAGCAGACGCCATTGTTGTTTAGTGAAGTGTGTCTTCTCCCTGCATCACCTAGCGCCTTCCCTGATTGGTAAGATGGCCAAGATCCTCCTGAGCAAATGAATGCTTATAGCACAGTAACATGACAGTGGACTGGTATATATACTGAGGGACTAATAAGGGAGTGAGCTGCAGGTGAGGGGTGGGCGGGGAACACCAGGTGAGGGGAGTAAGTTGATTGCTTGGCCTGAGAGGCGGGATCTGAAACAACAGGAGAGTCAGTGATATGGCGTGAAAACAAAACCAGATGAAAACAAACAAAGAGTTGGTGAAATTTGTGACATGTTCATTTTTCAGGAGATTTGTGGCCACCGTAGTTTCTATTACACACTTAGAAAGGGAGGGTGAAGTGAAGGAGTTGCAATCTGAAACTACACCGCTAGATGCAACTAAATCCTACACACTGGTCCTTTCAAATTCCACTCTAATGAGAAATGTATGTTTTATCTTTCTGTTTCTCCCTCAGGCCCTACAGACGTTAGAGAGTCGGCTGAAGCTCTTGTCGGGGGAGACGGGGCTCAGTGTGGAGCAGAAGATAGCAGAGGTGCAGGAAAGCGTCAGGAAAGCCAAGGTATTTGTTATTAAATGTGCTTTTTCCCCTACAGGGAAAAAATCCAACATTTGAGTTAGCAACAGGGCCTTTCCCTCTCTACCTCATCCCCATTCTGCTTTCAGCACTCAAACTGCATTTCGTTTACTAAGGATATACTGTACTGTAGTGTAGTGCTGGACCGTTCTACGACACCGTATTAGGGTCAAAAAAGTTTTTTAAACGGAGCCACGGGGGGGATTAATATTTTCATAGAAAAATCTTTCTGAGACTAAAGTTGTAGATTTATGAGAAAAACACTTGGATATCCTCTGAGATTAAAGTGGTAAGATTCTCACAAATTTACACAAAAACTAAAATATTCTCTGATTATAAAGTCATACATTTGCAAGAATAAACTAGTAGTAGTGAAAATTTCTCTGAATATTACCCACCTTGCTCTGTATTTATTTATTTTCTACCTATCATGGCTCTGATATACGGTTGTAAGTTTCTAATTTGACATAACATGTAATATTGAGAACAAAACCCAGCTGCTGTCTGTCTGCCTGTCTGTCTGTGTTTCTTCCTGTCTCAGCTCAGCAGGGTGAAAGCAGAGGCCCGTCTAGCTCTGCTGTCTGACAGTGTCACAGGAATCGAACAGTGGCTTCACGACGCCATGCACCAGGCAGAGGAGGAGCTGGAGAGAGAGAGACGCCTCAGTGAACAGAGGAAGTCTACTGAAGACTTTTCAGTATGCAAACACACACACACACACACACACACACACACACACACACACACACACAACCAACCTCCTTGAATTTCTTAGTTAGCTCTGATGTTCTAGCTGAGGTCGAGCTAATCAGGGCCTGGGACCTTTCACATCTAATACTGCCAGTGTGACATGGTTGCCTTATCTCCATTCTCAATTAATATAGTCTCCCACTGAAGCTCCCCCAAGGAGGTGATGTTGGGTTCAGAAGTAAATTTCTCCCCTGTCAACTTTTTCTTGATTCTCAGGCTAGTAAGAGGCATAAAGAGATTCAGAGGAATAGTTCAGATATATATTTAATGGTGTCAGCCACTAATACGTTAAAATGAGCACTTAGACGTTAGGGCTGCCAATATTCTGTATTTATCTTACTGGCAATGAAAGTTTTCAGCCCAAACCATATTGGTTCCTACTGACATGAATCTTTAAAAACAGAAATATATGTGTTATAGAAATTTAAAAAAGGCTCAGTAATTTCACTGTAGTTTTTATCAAATGTTAGTCAAAGAGGACTGTAGGAGACTATTTTCCGTGGCAGATGAATCCACATCTGGCGCTCTGGGGAGCATTTGGGGAAGGTGTATATGGGTTTAACTCAAAAGAAGCTGTAGTGTGTGTGTGTGTGTGTCCGTGTAAATGAAGGAACATGTCACCCAGTGCAATGTGATATCATTAGATGGCGTGTAAATAGCTCGCCATGTGTGCAGCGTGTACGCATTTTCAGCTTTTCATATTTCATTGAACAGCTCTTGAAGATTTCACATTTTTATGAGTTTTGGACGTGCAGGAAAGGACATCAGGTGACCTTCGTCGTCATAGTAACAATAGTGAGGTGACATTGTGAAATGGTCGCAGTTTGGTTAGGTTTAGGTATCAAAACTACTTAGTAAAGTAAAATGTTGTGTGCAAATATGTGAGTTACCTCTCCTACTTATGTCATGCTGATGTGTTTTATTGTGTGCTTCTTAGGAGGATGAATTTGAGCTGACTGACTTTGAGGACTACGATGATGAAAACGGAGATATCTTTGCAGATCCAGTGTCAGCATCTGGAGTGTGTGTTTACCCTGCAGCCTGCAGAGTAATATATAGCTATCAGGTAATGCTTTTTACAGTGTTCAGAAGTAATACAGCAAACCATCTCTACTCAGTCTTGAGGTGAAGGCTTCACTTCACGTGGTGTCGTAGGATACACACATATATACATTGTTACATTGTTGTGGAATACTTCAAAGAGTGGTTTATTGAGATTTCAGCAACATGTTTTGAATAGGAAGTGTTATGTATTTCAAAAACACAATTTCTACATTCCATTCAGCACTTCCTCCATGCTTTCGGTGTCAACTTGACACCTCTCGAAGAGCTGTGGTTGTGACAATTTCCGGAAGTGAAGTGAAGTCACAGGCCAGAAAATGTTGAGAAAACAGTGACATATCAACAAGGAAGAAAGAAAGGAGGAAGAGGTTAAAGTCCTGTCTGGTGTAACTAAAGTATTTCTGATGTTGTTTCCTGCGTATCCTTCACAGTGTTGACTGAAATCAGGGGAACCTGTTGCTGCAGATTAATGTACTTGCAGGAAATCATGAAAAGAACTTTGCAAATGTACTCCGCAAATAAAATGGGTGTGTGTAGTGTGTAGTACTGCAGTTACATAATGCTGAAGAATTCATCAAAATGACAAGCATGTTACTTCCTGTAGGCTAGCCAGTCAGATGAGCTGTCAATAATGGAGGGGGAGGAGCTTCAAGTGATTGAGGATGGAGACGTGGAGGACTGGCTGAAGGTTTGTTCACATAATGTCAGCCTTCAGAAAAAGAAAAACATTTTTATTTTGAAAAAATAGTTGACAATCCTTTGTTTAAAATGTTCACTACGCTCTGTGAATGTTCTCCAGTGACTCACCTGTGTCTGTGTCTGCTAGGTGTGTAACTCCTGTGGTCAGGTGGGGTATGTTCCAGAGCGTTATGTGCAGTTCCTGTGCCTACCAGCAGAGGACAGCACTCAGCTGGACAGTTCTTTCAGCTCCACCTCATCCACTGGGAATAGAGAGAGAGCAGGGAGCAGAGGTCAGCAGTCTGTGGTCATTTACAATACCGCTACTGACCTATTGTGTTTGAAACACATCCACAGATGATTCATAATAAGGTGATTATGTCATGTCACAATAACTTCAATCCTGTGTCAGGTGTAGCCAGAGCTCTGTACTCGTACCAGGCCCAGAGTGCAGAGGAGCTTTCCTTCCAGGAGGGGGCGCTAATCCACCTGATACGCTGTCGTCACGGAGAGGTAGGGGCCGAAGCCTCCGAGAAACGCAGTCTTCTGAAGCCTAAATTCAGAGGACACAACAAATGCAGACTTCCCAGACTTCATCCCACAATCCTTTGCTCTCCGGTAAATTATAAAGTGGTACTATCATAGCAGACCTAAAATTAGCTACAGTGACCTGTCAGGTTCAGCTTTAAGAGAGCCAGGCCGTCACTTCCTGTCTAGCTTCTGTAACCCAATGCAATCTCTCACTCCGCATTCTTTCAGCTGTGTGTCTTCCATATTCTGTCATTTTCCCCACTTTCTAGCTGTTTTAAAAACTGCTTTACAAGACTCGCCAATGGACTCACCTCTATAGTTGAGTTGTGACATTTTACCTGCAATGATAAACGCTGTTTGTTAGAGGATATATTGGATAAACAACTATATTAGATCACTTTTCAAAAAGCTAACATCTTATCTAGACATATGAAGTGAGCCATGTGGCATACTGAAGGCTAGCTTTTAGTGATTAGCATAGAGACTGAATGGGATTTTAAAGAAGGTTTGCTTGCTTCTTACCTGACTTTGGAAGATGGGTGGTTACACAGAACCATGTGGAAACTGTTTCGAAAAAGGCAGGAACTCAGCCGGTGATTGGATATCACAGGCGAGCGTCAACCAACCACTGTGGTTGGACATGAACACATAGCTTGAAGCCTGCCACCATCGATTCTCACTTGCGATTTTGTGATCTCACAAGGTTAGCGTACTTCTGGAACAGAACTCAAATGGTCTGGTTTCATTTAGGGTCTCTGTAGCTGTCTAGTCTCAGCTTGACTTTAGTATTCTGGCCAATGAGCAGTGTCAAAATCATTAACACAAGGCCCAATCACTAGCTAGTTTTCAGCTACACCTCACCATCCTCACCAGCAAATGTGCAGTAGTTTGCTCTCATGGAATTGATTTAGTTGTTATCACATGACAGAAGTATTACAACTGAGGGAACTCTATTGACGAAGGTCATGAGTGGTTGAAAGCCCTAAAAAAAGCTAGTAAGTGGACCTTGAGTTTAGATTAATTGTGGAAAAAATAGATGGATTCATGATTCATATCTACTACATTATCTCCGTGAATGTTCTGTTTTGCAGGTGGATGATGGGTTTTGGGAGGGAGAGCTGAATGGACGGATCGGTGTCTTCCCATCATTGGTGGTAGAGCTTGTTCACGATGAAGGGGAGGAGGAAGAGGAGGAGGAGGTGAGTCTCTTTATTGCTCCTGGAATAATCCTGTAAATCATAACTTTCCTTGATACCATTATCACATAGTGCTAAAAGCTTTATCCCCCTTACCCTCTGACTTCTGGCCAACTCCTTTATTTATTATCATTCGTTTTCAGCCTCTCCCGACCCCAACCATGCCCCCCTTCTCTCCCCCCATCCCAATCCCTTCCAACCCTGGCTGTAGTTCAGCTCTCAGTGCTACTCCCCCTAGCTGCGCGGAGGACAAACAGCAGGTCTTTCCTCTGAGGCTCACAGACGACACAGTAGGTGAGTGTCAACCTTTGCTCCAGAGTTTTTGTCAGTTCGTCTGATTCCATTCAAATGTCAGCTTTTCCTACATGAAATGTGTGTGTGTGTGTGTGTGTGTGTGTGTGTGTGTGTGTGTGTGTGTGTGTGTGTGTGTGTGTGTGTTGTCCCATCAGAAACAGAAGGCAGCAGCCACAATTCTCCAGAACTCTCTCGACTAAGACCAGTATGTGCCCTTTTCTGTATTTGTGAATATATTTTGGGTAGAACAGCAAGCCTTCAACTAGGGCTGTCACAGTATCAGATTTTCTCTACATAATTATTGTGCCCAAAGGAATTTACAAGAAAGATATTGCAAAATGTATAATCCACCTCTCCAGCTCCACCCCCAGTGCTACTTGTAATTGTATAAATGATCCTCGAACCGACAGGGATCAGTGATAATCAACCTGTCTCTCTCCTCCCTATGGACCGTTTTAGTGTCGGCCGCCTCCTCCACCCCCAACACAGAAGCCTTCATCTCAGCCTTGAGACAAAGACTGGAGTCACTGTTTTTTAGGACCAAAAGAACACTGGTTTTGTGCCTTTTATTGCAGCATTAAACAAATAACTTGTATTTGTTTGTTAGATTTTTTTTTAGACTTTTAACTGTTGGTCAACTTGGCTCACTGGATGTGAACTTTCAGGAAATTGCAAAATTCCCATGTGTTCTTCGAGGGATAAGTGAACCAACATTCAATATAACATTAACATTTAAGTAACAGGGATAAGTACATGATTATCTGTATCTGTATCCATTCAACCAACTAAATTATCTGTTTTTGTATCCGTTCTCGGAAGGGGCGGGGCTTAAACCAGACATGGGTGGTGCTTGAATCGGGAGCAGGCAGGACTAAAAGGGAAGTTGTTCATTTGAGAGTTGAAGTTGCTATATTTATTGCTATAAAGATTTTATTTATATTAGAAAAGTAGTTAGATAATTTATTAAGAGTGATCTGACTGTTTACAGAACAAGTTTTTTATAAAAGGTGGGATATTTATGAGTGCGAATTTTCAATAATTTTACTTTACATGATGCTCGTTTTCATAAAAAAAGTACATTATCTGTACCAGATACCTATTTCAGCCATGTACTTGCCCAACCCTATTAAGTAGAGTTCTAATTCATTTCTAATACGTGTTGTAATTGGGAAAAAATGTATGAATATTTAGAATTATGACAGACAACTCAAGTAGTGTGTAGCCTAGCTTTACTTGCAACTGAGCTTTCACTATGTTAGCTATCAGCACACCCATTAAATCTAACTGGTTAGTTTGTAAAACAGAAGGAAATACTGCAGTTTTAACTAAGAAAATGTAAATCTGTATTTTACTGTCGTCAAAATATTTATTTTTAAATGTTTCTTCATATTTGGTGGCTTTTATTGAATTGCCTAAAGATTATTTTTGATAGATGGCTGCAATGATGGCTGCTTTTTTCATATACTCTCTTTGTGGCTGCTGGCTCATTTTGTTCAGTATAGAAATGAACATGAGTAATAAGACAAAACAACCTTTCTGTTTTCTAATAATAAGGGGTTGATTATCTCATTATATATGTACTGTCAGTCCTGAAAAGAAAAGAAGTAGAATCCACCAGTTTACGCCATAGTAAACTCATTTTTGTTACAGACTCTAACACAGATAACTGAGGAATAATGTATTATATTCTGCAGGTAGTGACTTTACCAGTAAAAGTGCTAGCCCAAGTAAACTTTGTACTGTTACATTGCATTATGAGAATATATTTTCTGATGTGACTGCAGGGAAGTCCAAGGATGACGTTTTCATTTATATTGCATCTCTACAGAGATATAACTATTATTTTGCATTTTAGTCCAATTTAACTATCTAACCTTTTTCGAAAAAAAAAATATTTTGAAAAAAAAATTGTATAACTGTATTATATCATCAATGTATTTAAATTCATCTTATCTGGGAGGTGGCTATTTATACAACATGTTGGTTTAATATACAGCTCATTACCCAGGTCACTGACTGATGTTATGTTGTGATCTCATCAAGCTCAACAAGGATGAAACACACACTTGCACAGGTTTGAAAAGCATAGTTCTGGTATTTTATTTCACTGGAGTAAATTATGATACATCTGCATATTTACAAGTCTCTTACATCATCAGTGTGTATTCTGCTGTACATATATTCCAGGCCCTGCTAGACAGGATAAATGCATTATACATGATTTGATCAACTCTGAGGATTGATAGTGATTATGCAGAATAATGAGTTTAGAGGCTTTTAAGCTTTTGCAGTTTTCAGTGGTGTTTCAATATGAACAGCTGTTAATCTGTGTAATGTTTTATGTCTCACCATATTTGTAGTATCGCTGCAAATTCTGCATTAATAATAAACTGTTTTCTCTACATGGTAGGGCTGAAACAGGGTGCATGTTGCAAGCTGACCAAAATGTATATATTATTGGTCCCATTGTCAAAACAACAAAAACAAAACATTATGTATTGTGGACCACACAGATACCAGTGCTGGTGTGTCAACCTAAAGAAGAAATGAAGATACAATCAAGTTGGAAACTGAAAGGAAAATCAAAAGGCTAGACCTCTTAGCCGTACTGGATGTCCTTAATATTAATATTCACACTTTTGCTGGTGTGTAAACCCTCGGGCTGGTTGTGACTCTGGCTGTTGTCCTGCTTAAGACTTCATATACACACACATAGGAAGTTTTGAAATACTGCCGATAACATTCAGTTTCTAACCTTCCATTTTATTTCCAAACTTTCTACGAATGCCCCTGCAATTTGAATGCCACAGGAGATCTTAATAATATTACAAATCTATAATTTGTCTCATAATACTTTATCAACATTCATTCTTTGAAGATTCAACATAAAGCCTTTACATTTAGCTGATAAAAGTTGTTTTGTAACTCAATTAGCCTCGTTCCAAAGATTATTTATTGAGTAACAATAGCTGAATACTGGGCCCCATTTCCCTACAAAGGACACAATTTATTGCTGAGATTGTGCTAATGTTTTATACAAGAATTACCAGGCAGCGTGTAATTAATCTGCTATTAACCGCAGGCATATTATTTTGTTGATTATACTTTGTTAAAGAAGACTTATAATAATATGATTTCAGTTTAGCATTGTATCTTAACATTTTCTTTTTATTTAAAAACAAGTTTTAAGATAATTTTCTAAATACATTTTTCCAATGCAAATCAACATTTTTTTCAAATGACTTTATCATGAGCCTTCTGGCCTTCTATACGTACTTAAAACTGGAAAGAAGGGAAGAAACTAAGCTTTCAAGACTAAAATGACTCCAGATGACCACTGACATTTATAGCCCTATTACTAGCCTTATGTACTATCTGTTTAGTTGCTCTCCTAAAATCAATTTGGAGACTTCATACAGATTTCATGTTTACAACAAACTGCTGGTTATTGTAGGAAAGAAAATAAAGAGGGACAGAGCTGCACATAGATCAGTGTTGGATAATATGGCTACTAATAGCTGCACCATTAAGATATTTCATGTCTTTAAATATACATGACTCCATATTTGCAATGTAATGTACATATATGATGCATTTAGTCAGTTGTTATTATTCTAAAATGGCTTTAGAGGTTGAGTGCATAAAAACAATCTAAAACTCTATTTAACACAACAGTTTGATGTTAGTAGAATAAATATGTTGATGATGACACAGCAGCTTAGGGGTGAATGTGAAGAGTTATGAAGGTGGGTGATAAAAATATATGTGAAGGTGTCGTGTGTTTAGTGACCAGCAGAGGGTGCCACAAATTGTATCATGATCACTTATCAGAGCATTCAAACTTTTGAATATATTGTAAAGGTCTGGATGAAGATAATTTACTATATTTCCAGTTGAGAAAAGTCACACAGCAAAGCAGAAGATGGTTGAAATGAAAATCTGGGGGCAAAAGAAAGATACAGAGTGCGAGGAAATCTGGGGCAGTAGACTAGGCCTCTTTGGTTTCCCATAAAGACCAGGAAATGACGCTGACCTCTGACCTGAAACTTTTGAACTGTGTCTGGTAAACTCCTTCTGTTCTAACCAGAACCAGTCTCCAGGGCCAGGGGCTTGAATGGGCTGAATGCCAGAAAATAGAAATACAGATTCCCTTCTAGAGTTAAACCTCACCATGGTGTTTCAGATTATATAAATGACATACATATTTTCTCACTTACTTGACATTTATTTTCAATTTTTTATTGGTGGTTAAAGATCCCCTCCAGACACGTATTAAGACAAATAATAGTCTGCTTGAAACAATAATGTGTGTTCACAAAAAAAGTATAATTTCTCCCACCAGAGGCTCCCACGAGTGTACAATCGCCTGTCTTTTATCTGATGTGGAAGCTTTATAAGTTAGACTTATTATACTCCATTATACTATTACACATTTAAAATACATTACCTCTAAGTTTCACAGCTTTAAGGTTTGCAGAATTTATTCTGTGGAAGTTTCATGTCTCTATAGTCTCATTTAACATACTAAGGAACTCCCCCGACATGTACTGCTCAACAACACAATCAGTACAAAGTCTATGGCTATACTTGCCATCTTAGTTGTCCTTTGTCATTGCTTTTCACTAAAGTATTGTTAAACGTGACAAAATAGGATAAGCAGGAATAAGTGTTGTGAATAATAAGACTTGTAAAAAATGTATTAATATAACAATTCCAGAAAACTAAAATGAAATGCAGTATATCTATCAGTGGAAGTACCTGATTACACTAGTATAACAATAATATTCTGGGACTGCTCTATATGGTCACATAAATGACTGCTGGCTGCGGGGCGGGTGGGACTTGGCTTGGGAACCGGAGGGTCGCCGGTTCAAATCCCACAAACCACAATATGGAGTGTGGACTGGTAGCTGGAGAGGTGCCTTCACCTCCTGTGCACTGCCGAGGTGCCCTTGAGCAAGGCAACCTAACCCCAAGAAACTGCTCATGGGCGCCGCTAACGTGGCGAGCCCATCACTCCACCATATCTCTCCCTGTTGCATGTCCACAAGTGTGAAGTGTGTATTTCAGCCAGTGTGTATGTAAGAATAAAAAAGAGTGAAAAGAAGAATTTCCCCTAGGGGATCAATAAAGTATATATCTTTATCTTCTTCTTCTGGCTCTGTGTTCGGTAGTGCTAAAAAAGAACAGAACCACCACTTTAGACCCATGTTCAAAATAACTGTTAGTGTTCACAAGGTGGGAAGCCAGTGAGAGATCAATCCCTTATTGCTTCACTAGCACTAACAGGGACTGTGGGCAGTGGAGGATGGATCTGTGGAGGGCAGTGTAACATTCATATGGGTTATACTCTCATGGTGAAGCTCTTCACTGTGCTATAAAATGAAGCACAAGGAGGGAATGAAGGAATTAAAATAAGGGGGAACATTTAAAATGAAAAGGCCGTTTTATCCACCTGGCAACATGCTGTAATTGCCAAAGGCAACTACGTTATAAGATAGGGTCAAACATAGTTACCAAATTGATATATCTCCATTGGCCAAGCTGCTCATAGAGTGACTGTCTGTGCTTGTGCTGTTAATCTTGATTCACAATCAGGAGGATCAATAGATGAAATTAGAGGTGCCAGTCGTTAGCACCTTTATATATCAATAAATAATCATGACAAATCAATAAATTAATCACACACCTCTGGTTAAAGACTCAAACGTACAGCGTGTTAACAAGTAAGCACTTAGATGTTAACTTATCAATAAGAAAGTGGTCAGCCTGTCACACAAAACAATTAGTCAAAGGAAAACTCCACCCTGCATTGCTAACTAATGACATTCAGCTGTACTTTGGGTTTAGTGGTAATTAGGAAATGTAAGCATTATAAACTATGGTGACCATGGAAAACATTGTCATTAGCAGCATACTGATGCTAGCATTAAGCTCTAATGGCCCTTGTGCCTACAGCCTCATAGATCCACTAGCATGGCTGTAGACTCTTTGTCTTGTTAGGTTTTGTATTACTGTTATCATGATTACTGAGTCGGACAGTATTTCATGATCCCAACATAACAGGCTCAGACTCTTAACGTACTAATAAATGGAAGCCAATGGCTGCCTGCAAAAGTAGGAAAAAACATGCAAAAATCTAAATCACAAAAACATGGTTTTCAAATTGGTTAGCCATTATGTAAATTATATGTGTGATTTCTGGTGAAAGGGCTAAATCATGCAACATCGTATTATCCTTTCAATCTAGCAGTGGAAGAGTATCTGAGGATTTTCCATTAGTCATTAACCAGCCTCTGCGGTCCCGCTGCTACTCCATTTTCTTTCCTTTTCACTTCTTTGGATTGTCAGAACAGTTTGAACTATCCACCATCCTGATATGAGACTTCACCTCTCAGTCCTGTTTGACTAAATGTTCACTCTCTTTTCCAACTCCTCATCCACTCTCTCTGCTTCTTCAACCTGTGTCACTTTGCAGTTCCTAATATCTTCCATCTCCATCATATCATCCTTGTCTTGGCTCACCGTTGTCCTACCATCTGTTCCAGAAGTCGCTCCACTTTGATTTTCAGGTTGTCCAACTTCTGAGACAGAAACCTGTCCACCCCAACCAACTGCTGGACTTATTCCCGCTTTTTCTGATTCAACCCCAAGTTCAGAAGTCTCTCCTTTCCTGTCTTTTACTGAAGTAGAGCACTCTTCCTCTTCCACCATAGTGACAACAGAAAACTCTCGCTTGCTGTCAGGGCTGGCTTTTACGATGGCCACACTACTTACTCTGCTCCCTATAGGTGAGGACGGGGACAGCGGACTGGAAGGGGACAGAGGCAAAGTACTCAGTCTGTCTTTAGAAAGCTGATCAATGGGAGAGGAAAGGGCAGAACCTTTAGACTCTCCCTGAACCGGTGAGAGTTTAGCTGTTTTGAGAATCCCAACCCTCTTAATTTCTGTCTTTTCTTCGGTTTTTGGGACTCTGGCACCTTCTAGGTCTTGATCCTTTAGAGATAATGAGCTTGAAACCACATCCCCTTTGGTCACACTTACTGACTTTAAAGTCAGACGAGGTGAACTTCCAAAGGACAGGTTTTGGTCAGCTGGAGAAGAGAAGGGGGTTTGTGGTGAAACTGACATGGAATCAAGTTTGGGGATAGCAGTAAGAGCGGGTGAGGGAGTTCGGGCTTTTAATGGACTAGCACTTTTTCCAAAGGATGAAGATAGAACAGGGGATTGGCTAGACATTGCTCGGCCTGACGGTAGTTTGGGGCTTGGAGTGAGGGCAGGAGAAAAATCAGTTCTAGCAGCCTCTGATGGCATGTTTCTTGAACTTAGTTTGGGACTAGGTGTGACCACCAGGGGTGAGGTAGGAGTTTTTAACAAAGAAACTGAAGATGGGGTTTCTATTGAGACCGAAGATGGAGGGGATGAACCTAAGCTTATTAAAGCTAGGTTAGCACCAAAACCTGGTTCCAGATCTGGGCTGGAGCTTGGGTCGGGAGGAGTCTGGGTAACTGGAAAATCTGTGCTAGAATAGGGTTCAGGTTGACCAGTAGGAATGACAGGAGTAAAACCTGGTATAGATCCATGCATGGGAGCGATGGGTGTAGAGGTCTGTAGCGGCCCGGGATCGTATGCCTCGTTATTTTTTAGCACCTTATCTTCAACATCTGCTCGTTTCTCAGTTGTCTGTCCAGAAAAAGCAGGAATTGGAATGGGAAGAGAGCTGGGGGCAGAAGCTGCTGTACTCCCAATGGAAGGTTTGATCATAAGGTTTGTACGAAGTTCAGGACTTGGCCCATGTTTCAAGCCATTCTCAGGAGCAGAGCCTGAGTCATAGGCATAATTCTTACTTTGGGAAGAGAGAGAATTAACAGAACCTGAAGTTTTGGCCTCACGTTGAGGTGAAGCAGAACTCTTTGAGGGCTTGCCTTCAGATTTGATACCAGGTTTAGTACCACGTTCAGGGTCGACTTCAGTGCTCTCTGTCTGCAGTTCCTCTAGCACGACAGGTTGTGGCTGAATAGCAAATCTAATACCTCCAGTTTCCCTACCTGTCCCCTCCCCTACCTTAATGCCAACGGGGTCGCTGCCCCGCCTCAGCCCGAATATGGTTAGACTCTTCCTGCGTTTTCCCACATTCGGAGCAACCCCATTAGAGTTCTCGGAAGGTGGACGGACATCCTTAAACATGCTTCTCAGATTGTACCCGCCCTCCTTCCGCTCCTCACTGTCCTGGGATTGGTCCAGCTGGTCCCCTGAAATGACCAATGGATTAGGACCTCCATGGAGCTTCTTGTCGGTATGTATCACCCGGAACCTGAATGGATAATGATACATGTAGGATGAAATATTTTGACCACTATATCAGAGCATATAGTCTGGACAAGTGGCTTAATCATTTGTTGTTACCTGCCAACAGAGAAGACAGTCTGCTCTCCAGGGCGTTGTTTGGAGCGGGGGGTTCGACTTTGTCGTCTGCCCTTTTTAGACCGGACCTGAGCACAGAGGTGGCAGGAGTTGTGGTCGGTGCCTGAGTGGACTGTGTGGTGATGGGGAGGAATACCACCAATGGACTCTTTACGCAACCTGGATATCAAAATTACATTATTATTTTCATCAATGTTATTCTAATAATAATAGTATGTGTATAATATGTGATGTGAGCAGTCTAAAGCTGGAATTATGCTTCTCCTGGCTGCACGTAAGCAAACGTTTGGGTTTGACACGTTCACATTTGTGTTTCTTTTTCACTTGCACAGATTAGACATATGTGTCTAAGCATCTACATGTTTAGCAGACCACAATGTAAAAAGGACGTAGAGGAAATCAGGAAATCAGTTTCACCCCAGTGACAGTGTAAACCCCTATATCTGTGAAACAAACATGAAAGAGTTCAGATTTATCAACGCAAATGGCGGGCAATGTTTAAGAAGTGCCTTGAAGAGGAATGTCTTTTCCCCCGATTGCTTGACATGTAGGTCCATGCCATGTATTGTTGAGATTTCGGAGATGTGCCCATAACACCTGCGACAGTGAGGCAAAATCACTTTAACAACTTAACAGTTTAAAATTAAAATTGTTCACCTTTGTCACCGTTTGGAACCATTGTCCTTTTTTTCTCTATTTCTGTCTATAGTCGTAACAAATGTCCCATGTAAAATTTGAATAACGCTGAGATCTCCATCCATATAAGGTACCATCATCAGTAATTGGGGGCCACTGGCGTACAACTACCCATGCAGCAGTCACTTTTAGTAGGCAGCAGCAGTCACACAGGTACTACAACTTTAATCTTGGAGCTCATCTCAAGATTAAAAATAAAAATGTTTCCTTGTTGTGAATATACATGCAGTCAACAGACAGGCACACTAATACAGACTCTGTTAGATGCTTTCACCTGGGGTCATGGCGCACACAGACATTGTGGTTTCCCAACAGCTCATTGAAGGCTTCCATGTTAGCTGGAGGTGACAACAAGAAGAAACCATATCAGAGTAGTAGTAGAGTACTGTTAGAGGGATTTGCTGATCCATACTGATCTTATCTGATAAGAACAAAAACGCATGGCCATGGTCACTTTGTATTTTCTGGCATCAAAATGATCAAATCTCATATTGTTAAACATCACATCAACAGCTCTTATTCAAAAATGCATCTATCATGTGTGATGTATTGTGTAGAAGGCAGTAAAGAAATTCTTATATTTGTCACCTTCATTTTCAATAATACATTTTAGGATCTGCTCCACCGTGTCCTGGTTGTCTTCATCCTCATCTGAAACACAGCAGAACAACAAACAGTTAAAACAATGACCACATCCAAACTGTCTCTCAGTTAGGCATGGGATGATATGTACATTTCATGTCATAATTATTATTATTATTTTATTGGGGTACTTGGGGCTTGTTGGGGTATTTGTTTTGGGTGTTTGTTCGGATATTTTTGGTTGTGATGCTGATCTCATGGTGTGTGGGGGGTAGTTTGGCCATGATGTGTGGCCTCCATGGGTATTTGTGTGCTTATGTATCGCCTGTGTTATGTGTTTTATGTATTAGAATAAAATAAATTAATGAATTAATGGTCTGGAAAGACATGCTGCAATTTTTTTAACCACATTTATACAATGCTGTAAGTATTGAAAATTCACAGGCTGTTATGTTACAAAAGGTCCCCAAACTGGTGAAGAGAACTTTGGTAACTGTCTCAATCCAGCAGCAGAGGTGTCCAATTTGAGTATATCATTTGTTGAGATGGACACAGTTTTTTTCAAATAGTTTTGCTGTGACGGTGGAGGTCATCTATTGCTTCTACTTCTCGTGCTGTGAGTCTGTGTGTGTGTTTATAAGTGTATGTATGTCCATACGTGTGCATATCAGACAGACAGTTTTATGTATCAAAGTGAGTGCATGTTTGAATAACTTTGTGTGTGAGAGTACTTGTGATACAGACTTCAAAGAAGACCACATGGGTTTGTGAGTGTTTGTGTATTTCTGTAGGAGTGTTGTAGTGCAGGAGGGAGAGAGAAGGAGATGGAAATATCCTCTTTCGGCCTTATCACAATTATTACCACTAACTTCTCAAGTGTTGTTGTTATATAACTTTTATATTTTACCAAACGTTCAAGCAACACACAAATTATGCAGTTTCTAACTGCAGCATTAGATAATATGTCAGCGTTGTGTTTACAGCTTGTTTCACTGCCCCCAGCGGCCAAAAAAATCTATGAAGGTAATGTTAATTTCCTCCTTTAATTATCCATTTTACTCACACACTGAGCTAATGTAAAGGCTTGAAAAAATTTATATGGGCTATAAATATTATGCAGCAGAACAGATTATTAACACTAAGATGATCAGAATAAAAAACATTTTTCACTAACAGTCTTTTCTCTCTATTGTAGGGAAATATAGAAAAGAGTCTCTCTCTTTCTCTGTCTACCTCTCAGGATCACTTTCCGAGCAGATACGGTGAATATGGACATTGAAATGGGTAATTCATTTAGCAAATTAGTAATGCACTCCCATTCATTTTGGAGTAATCACAAGAGACAGATAAAAACATTATCAAAATCAATGCAGCAGAGGCTGAGAAATGGGTCTCTTTCCAAAAATGGCTAGATCCTACATTAACCGTAGTACAAACAAATGCAATCTTTGGTAGGACCCTCCCTGCCAGGTAATTGTCTGTACCTTTCAAACTCCACACACCCAGTTTGATATGCAGACCTATTCCTTAAGCATGAGATCATTGACATTACAGCTCCTCCAGAGCCCAGAAAACATTATACAATTGTTTTCATAGGCTGAATAGTACCCAACACTGGTAAACTGATCTTTATATGTGACCTCCTTATCTATTCTACTTTTTTTCTCAACCCACCGTCTGCATTTCCTCCAAGCTTTTCCACCTCCTCCTCGTCATCGTCCATGTCTCCGGTGCGGCAGCGGTAGCCCTTCTTCTTCAGCAGGTGGCAGATGAGGAAGCCAAACAGTCCGGTGAGGAAGAAGAGGAAGACCACCACAAAAATCATGTAGGTCGGGGTATGTTCCACCACCCCTGAGGCCTCTAATTCAGTCATAATGTAGGTTCAACCTGAGTCATGGAGAAAGAGATTAGACTAAATGATTTTTGTGTACCATCAGCATTTTAAGTTATACCTCATGATGAGGTGAGACTGTTTTACTTGGTCCTTTAAGAGACTCTGATCTGTTCAATAGATGTATAAACTTGGAAATTAGAGTCAAAAAACATATTTGTGTAACTGTCTTGTAACTGTTTCATCTATTCCTGTTAAATACTGCTATGTTGTTTGGCTCTTATTAAAAAAAGGTGAGAATGACAACCTTTCACATTATACAGCAGCACATATTACAGATACATTATAATTACTAAAATACAGAAAATGGGAAATGTTGTGTAAGAACCAGATAAAAGCTATATTGATGGAGTAATAATAAATGATGCTGTTGTCTTTGCAGTTGAGCTGTGAAGGTTTCAGAAAGTGTGAGGACAACAGACTTTAAAAGAATTCTTAGGATTAAAATCGCCTTATTGTAGTTGCTTAAACACTTTAACATCTCCCACCCCAAACCTCAATCAAGAGAGACAGAAATATAGAGTGGGTAAAATAAAAACATACAGGCTTTCCGGTTGGTTCAAATCATCTTCAGGCCTTCTGTTGCAGACAGGTCAACATCAAGAGTCAGTCTGTGAAGGGCAGAGAAAGGGAGGAAGAGATCCCAATCAGATTAACACAATCTCCCATATAAATCAATATGAATTAACTTAATTAGCTGAATTAATTAACTGCGTTTGAACATTTTCCATGTAATAAGTAGCAATCCTTTTTTAGCTTTTTTGAAGGCAGCCATTTGGAGTTGTTTTCCCAAGAAAAGCACAGGTGTGATTAATACCATTAATGCTGGCCATTTAAGTGTCCCAGTAAACCATTATCGAAGGTCCAGTATGTAGAATTTAGTGGCATCTAGATGTGTAATTGCAGATTGCCACTCCTTCGTTCCCCCTCCTCTTCGCAACACAAAGGATAAACTTAGAAAAATGGGGGACTCTATGGAAGGAGTCTGTAGATATGAAAGGCTCACATATCGATTCCTCTATGATCCCACACTAATGAAAACACATTTATGCATAATATATGTCATTTCTGCAAAGTTCCTCCTAAATGTTACACACTGGACCTTTAATGCATTTAAAACGACAAGATTTTGCAATTTCAGTTGGTTACAATGGAAAAAGTTCCACAGTTCAACTTTTGGTGAACTCAGATCTGCGAATTTATACCGCTTGACCAATGGCAGGTCGTGTTGACAGAGCTCACCTTTGAGAGAGCTGAAGAGCCCTACTGTACTGAACTACTGTAGCTTGTTAGATTTGTTGCACTGTTCACTTTTATTGAACCTCCTCTGACTGAGTACACACACTGCTCCACAAAAGAGACATTGTAGACAATTACAAGGCAAGACTGCTACTTTTAGTTTACGATATTATAGATTAGCTACATTTGCATACTAAAATTATAATGTTTTTGGCTGTTATTTGTTAACGTCAGTGTGAAAGACAGCATTTGCTTTGTAATGTTTATGGCAAAGTTAAATATTAGCATTGTGACATTTGGTAGCATTATTATTATTAATGGTAATAAATGTTAGCAGATGTTTAATATTTTAGCACACAACAAGCCAACAAATATAAGCATTGTAGGGTAAAATAAAAAATTAGGCTGCTTTAAATGCAACAGGTTAGTTGAAACATTGAACTTCCCGAAGCTTTGCTAACTAGCTGTCTGTGTTCAAAAGATGAAAAAGCCCCATCAAGGTAAACTATATAGCCAAAAGTCAGTGGACACCTGCCTGTCACATCTATATGAGCTTGTTGAATACCCAATTCTAAACCAATGCGCACTAACATGGAGTTGGACCCCCCTTTGCAGCTAAAACAGCCGCCACTCTTCTGTGAAGACTTTCCAAAAGATTTTTGAATTTGTCTTGGGGAATTTGCACCCATTCAGCCGAAACAAGATCATGGACTAATGGTCAGGACTTTGTGCAGGCCAACTGAGTTCCTCCACACTAAACTCATCTAACCATGCCAACATGGACCTCTCTTTATGCACAGGGCCTTCACAAAACTGTTGGCACAGTTGGAAGCGCCTAATTGGCTAAAATGTCTTTGTATCGTGTAGAAGAAGACCCTTCACTGGAACTAAGGGACCTAGCCCAAACCCTGAAAAACAGTCCTACTTTATGTGCTGATGTTGCTGCCAAAGGTAGGGGCAGATATGGGTCATTTTTATGGAAACCCCAAAACTCCCAGATTCATTGGGTGGCAGTTTGAGTTTTAACTTTAAGTGCACATTTGTTTCGGAATATACACTATACTCAAGAACATTATTAACTGAAATGATAAAGGCTTTAAAACAAGACCAACTTCATGGTTCTCTGTCAAAATATCATTTCAAGACCATAATTAAAGGTCCAGTGTATAACATTTAGGATGATCTAATGGCAGGAATGGAATATACAATAATATTCATAGATATGTTTTCATTAGTATAATCACCTGAAAATCAGAAACAGAAATACTTTATTGATCCCCGGGGGAGAAATTTGTTGTGTTTTTGTTCCCTTAGAATGAGCTGTGTATCTACAGAGGGAGCGGGTCACCTTCTATGGAGTCCGCCATGAGATCTGCCATGTTTCTACAGTAGCCCAGAACGGACAAATCAAACACTGGCTGTAGATAGGTCCCTTCACTTTTTCTCTCGAGTTTAACGGTCGCCGTTGTTTCTCCACACACTTCACAGTCCGTTCTCATTCCCAGGTCGTCAAATACTGATGCAAGCAGTGTTCAGATAGTTGCAATTTGAAACTTCCCGATGTCTCTAAATCCTAAACACTGCTCCTTTAAATGGTGCATATTCCTAAATAAATGAGTTAAATAAATTACAACTAACTTATTTGACAAACAGCAAACCTGTCTTCAAGTACTGCTCCAGCACGAGTACTGGCTGATATCTGGACATAATACTATAAGCTGACATGTATAGTCACTATTAAATATGAGCACTTGCATATGACAGAGTACATAACATGCCCACAACCAATTGTTGACTTAAGGAGCCCTAGTGGTTAATCCTACCATGTACAACAGATGGTCCACCACATACTGATTAAAGCATGTTTACAGGGGGGCGGTGTCTCATAAACTAATACAGCTAGATACCTATTTAAACTAAGAATATTTTCTTACTTATTATTATTACTTACTTAATTACTACTTTACTTTAAATATCATATTAGTTATTTATAGACTGACACATTATACAATGCATTTTCACGATGTTTCTATCTGAATCTGTAGACTCTACTACAACTTATTTATTACACATACTTTATTTTTATTGAATTGAAGTGTGTTTTCCAAGAGATTTGAAGAATTTCAGTTTTAGGGTCAAATTACACAGTGCTCTACAACAAATAGTGCCTCATTATACACATAGCTGAGGTCCTTCTGCGCATTTTGATATCAAACACATGGGTATATCATATTATGCAAGTCCCTTTAAAGATGAATTTAAGAAGATATGTCAAAATCACCGTTAGACCCCACAGGGTTAAACAACAAAACTGAAAGCGACTACAGCTCAACAAAAGAGACTGCTTTAATGTGCCATCCGTGCAACTTTGCCCAAGCTATAACCTCTCCTACAAATTCTCAACCCTTGCAAAAAACATTATCCTTGTAACGTCATTCTTTATGCATGATAGCTGACAGATTGTTCTTACCATTTTCCTGCCTGTCAACAGAGGACACATCCGAACATGGGAACGTCAGCATGATCAGTTTTAAGCGTGCCAACAAAAACACAGAAAACATGCTGTTGAGATTTGGTGCGTTGGATAAGCAACTAAAACCGGTGGACAGCGTGTGCCCCTCCTGTACAGTATGGGTTCCCCTTAGCCCCACCTTTCTGTCTATCTGCAGAGAAAGAGGGAGGCACAGGGGCAGTGTGTGTGAAGGAAGAGAGAGACAGATAAAAAAGAAGGAACCTTGTCGTCATTGGTGATGACAATGAAAAAACACACGTACACATGCAGAAGCTCATAAAAATGACACTAGTTTACACCTGCAATACATCCTCTGCTTTACTTGTAGGTACTGTACATAATCAATCATATAGTTATATCATATATGTTTATCATTGTGTGTATATGTCACATAACATGTATTGTGAATGTGCAAACAGTAAATACACACACAGTGGAGACTATGAGTTAACATACAGCAACTTATCAGTGTTGCCCTCCAGCTGGCTTATCAGTGTCCATTAACGCCCCTCATGCACGTACACACACACACACACACGCACGCACGCACACACGCACGCACACACACACACACACACACACACACACACACACACACACACACTTATCAGCACTTGTTCCCTCTAAAACGTTTTTAGGGTGGTTAAGCATTGATAGTACCTATCATTAGCACTTACTGCTAAACATCTTCTAAACAGCTTATTTTTACTTCATCATCTTGTTGAGTTCAAATAAATGTTTGGTGATAATTCACAGTGTAAGTCAGCAGTGCAGTCAGTGGTATGATGATGAATAAAAGCTCCACTCATTCACTGAATGTCCAGCACAAGGTCTGTACATCACGTTTAAGTTGTGTTACACGGTACACGGCTTAAGCTGATACACTGACACATTTGTACAATACAATCTTACAAAGCTTTTGTACATATGGATGTTACATTGGAACTTTATAATATGGGTACAAATCATATACTGAGTAATAGTACTTAACTAATGCATGACCCATGATGATTTATGTGTCATGAATTCTTGTTGCTCCACACTAGCAAATGATCAAGTCACTGTGACTTTTTGTGATTAGTTCACACTTAATAGATCATCAGTTAAAGGTCCAGTGTGTAACATTTAGGAGGATCTATTGACAGAAATGGAATATGATATGCATAACTATGGTTCATTAGTGAACAATCGAATCATATTAGAATTGTGTTTTGGTTACCTTAGAATGAGCTGTTTTTATCTACAGAGGGAGCAGGTCACCTCTGGAGTCTGCCATATTGAGCCATCATGTTTCTACAGAGTATATATCATAAGTATACTATTTTTACCCTTATCATAAAGTATTACTGGTACATTATTATAAAATAAAAATCCAAAATGTGATCAGCATTACCTCCAGCGGACGAGGCCACCGATATTAGCAAAGAGCTGTTGAGTAAATCCTATTTCCTTTCCCTAACCACATCTTCAGTCGTAGTTTTATGTCCCCCGCCCCTCATACTCCCCTTCTCATGTAAGGTTTAAATGCTATTAAAATGCCTGAATAGTGATACATGATTTTTTAAATCTGTAAATTTACAGGGTTTTCACATTTTAGATTTTTTTTTCTGTATTTTTTAAATACATGGAAATGTTAATAAAATTACAATAATAGCCTGTGAATTTACATGTCTAATGTAAAATACTGTAAATAATTAAAAAATTACTGCTTATTTAAATAAATGTTCCTTTTCATCACATAAAAAGTTAAAATATGTACATTTTGCAAATTACATTGATTAAAATGTGTAATAGCTACTGTTAATACATTTCTAAAATTAGGTAAAACTAGTGACAATGGTAAAAACAAGTTTACATGGA